CGTGGTTGTCATCCATACTCTGCTGAATGACGGGGCCATCATTTAGGAAAAGGGCTTCTCACATCGTCCACCTCTCACCCTCACCTCGTGGTCTATAACACCTCTCAACTCATCATTCAATTCATATTCCATCTATTATATCTACCCATGTTTACCTCCAACATTATCGTAGATATAAAATACATATATATAGTTTAAATCATTTAAAACATGTATAAAATCGTTCATCCAGCATAGACAGCAAGTATTCAGATAATATGCACACATAGCACGTAATTTACATAAAATACTTCATATCTATGTGTAAGATGAAATTAACTATGCACTCACCTGATAAGGTGATGACTCGGTACTCGGACAACACTTCGTTACTGTTAAAACAATTTCCCTCGGACAAAACCTAGTATCATTACCACTAAAGTTTAGTCTAACGTTAACCACAACTAATTAATAGTCTAGATATTATTACTATTATATAAGCGTTAAGAAACACTCTTATATAACTCATAATAATATCCAAAGTACTCATAATAATCCCCTAATAACGTTACTATATTAAAACATAAGCTATACAAAAAAAGATAGGGTAGGCATAGCTCACTTACAACAGGTTTTTCGCAAAACCGGGCTTTGGTAGAGCAGCGTTTCCGAGCCGAAAGACTCTTTTCTCGGGACTTCGGGAGCCGCGGGGCTTCCTTCGGGTGCTAGGGGGTTTACCTAGACTTCAGGGGGCTTAAGGGAGGTTAGAGAGAGAAACTAGAGAGAGAAATAACGGTTGGGAGGTGTGAAGAAGAGGCTAGACCCGACACCTCTATTTATAGTGAAAATATCTGATGGACTCACTGAGTAGGGGGACCTACTCACCGAGTTGGTGCATGTGGTGGCCTTCTGGTGGTGCCACGTGTCCAATTATGGTGGTGCCGCGTCACCCCCTATCGCGTTTCAACCTTCAAAGTTAGAAAAATCATTACTCTCGCATACGAGCTATGTTTTTGACGTTCTTTTTTTCAACGCGTAGGTAAATCAAGATCTACAACTTTCATTTAGACTCCGTCGGCTAATTCTCGACCGATCTTAAATTTAACAGTAGGAGGCGTTTAGACTGTTAAATGACCGCGGAGAATTTGTAACTCCTTCATACGGACTCCGTTTTTGTCTATCTTTTTACCGTTGAGTTCCTATTAATGAGATCTTCAACTCTCATTTAGGTTGCGTAAGCTAAAAACCGCTCGAACTATAATTCGAGTTTCGGGTCGTGCACTGCTAAGCCGAATCTTAGAAAAATCATAACTTCCTCATACGAAGTCAGATTTGGGCGTTATTTTTATCGATGCTCTTAGTTTAACATATTCTACGACTTTTGTTTAGATTGCTAAGGCTAAATCTCGCTCTATTGTAAATTCACTATTTACGCTTCCCGGTGTCGTGTTGGTTTTGCCGTAAAACCTCGACGGGCCATAACTTCTTCGTTATAACTCGGATTTTAATGTTCTTTATATGTACGGAAACCTTGTGACATATTCCACAACTTGGTTAAGATTATTTATTCTAAATAATGTTTTGTCAAAAAGTAGTTTTCGACCCCTATTGCCTCTAAATTGACTAGCCCGGATCTGCGGGCGTTACAATTATGATTTTTCTAAGTTTCAGCTTAGCAGTATGCTACCCGAAACTCAAATTTTAGATCAAATGATTTTTAGCTGAAACCATCTAAATGAGAATCAAAGATCTTGTTGATTGTATTTTAACAGTAAAAAGACATACAAAAACGGACGTCGGATGAAGAAGTTATGAATTTATAACAGACTTTTCCTGTCCCGGTCTGTTAAGAATAAAACTTTAAAAATAAATTCAAAATTAGCCAATGAAATCTAAATGAAAGTTGTAGAGCATAGTCTCACCTACTCCTGGATATAAAGAACGTCAAAAATGGACTTCATATGCGAAAGTTACAAAATTTTGAAGTTTGAAAATGGGAGTTCGCCCAACGTACGAAAAGAGTACGCCCGACGTACTCGTGTACATAACCCGGAGTCCATCACCTCCCCTACTCCTTTGCATGATGTACGCCCGACGTACTTCTTGAAGAGGGAGTACGCCCAACGTACTCTAAATGTACGCCCATAGTATTGCTTGAAGAGGGAGTATGCCCAACGTACTCTAAATTTACGCCCAACGTAATCCGATGGTTCAGCTCCTATAAATAGCACCCGATGCCTTACGGATTTTGTTTAAAATTTTTAATCCTCTCACCATATACTTTCTTCTACTTTGCAAAAATTACCCCTAACCCTATTATATCATCCCCGACACCTGAAGCAAGTCCCGACGCTCCGAAGTTCCCGAGAAAATTATATATTCAAGCCGAAACTCTGTCCGCATGAAGCTTGGTTTTTGAGAAAACACCCTGGTTTCATAAGAGAATATTATTTTAAGAGACGAGGTGCTGCCCAATTACCGTCTTATCAAGTGAGTGTATAGTCACTTTCATCTTACACATACACAAACACACACACACACACACACACACACACACATATATATATATATATATATATATATATATATATATGAAGTATTTTATATAAAATACGTGCTATGTGTATATATGTTGTTTGTTTATTTGATATGGATGTTGAATGAGTGTTTTATACAGGTTTTAAACTGTATATGTATTTTATGTCTATAAATATGTTGGGTAAAACATGGGTAGATGAAATATTGTTTTATACAGATTTTAAACTGTATATGTATTTTATATCTTCAAATATGTTGGGTAAAACGTGGAAAGATAAAGAATGAGGGATGAAAGATGATATAGATGTTGTTGGCAGTTGCGCCTAATAAACAACATTGACAACTGTGCTAATTAGAGAATAAATGATGTTGTTGGTAGCTACGTCTAATAAACAACATTGGCAGCTGTGCCAATTAGGGAATAAATGATATTGTTGGCAGCTGCGTCTAATAAATAATATTGGCAACTGTGCCAATTAGAGAATAATTGATGTCATTGGCAGCTGCGCCTAATAAATAACATTGGCAGCTGCGCCATAGGCAAAGATGGATTTTGTGCTTATTTCTTAGGTTAATCCTTAGGAAATGAGTGAACGAAGAATAATTGATTTCTTAGGGTAGATCCTTAAGAGTAAAGAAGATGATGAGGGTTGGAAATTGGGTTGATTGTTTGATGTTTAAGCATAATAAATAAATTTATTGTGGTTGATGAAATTAATAAATTTATTGTGTGTGGGTTGAAAACCCTATATGCTCACCAGGCTCCCAAGCCTGACCCGCTCAGTTTCTTGTATTACAGGTAGTGGCAAGAGCATAGTTGGATAACTTGACGAGAGATTTTGGATTATAGACCAATAGATGTAAATATCTATTGTAAGACCTATATTGTATTGTTTATGCTTTTGGTCTGTATCGAACATGACATCCCGGAGTTTTAATAAAATGAAATGCATTTCTTGGAAAGTGCTTTGATAAATCTTTATCATATTTTCTCTTGGGGACAAATTCTGCAACACCTTTTGAAAGATTACTTTGATTTTATTTTAAAAAGCATAAACGAAATCGGTCTTTTCTGGCCGAGAAATTTGGGGATGTCACAACATGTAAGTTCCAATTACACACAACATCTCGGTGACACTAAAATCACCAACAAACCTGGCATTATGGAGACATGCTCGGATCAAATCCATTCATTTTTATGAAAAAACCCCCAAAAATATCATAACCCAATGAAGGTAATCCCAAGACAACGAATCATAGTTATTCTTGAAATCAAAATTGAAGACCACAAGCTTTATTTATTTTTATGTTTTTGTTTACAATTTTCCATCAATTCATTGACAGCTGGATGGCCATCTAAACTTGTCTTCCTTTAATAAGGTAGACTGCTCCTGACTCAATATCGAATTAACCACTTTAGCCAACAAAGAGCTAATACTTTGCCAATTAAAGTGCTCGGACAATAATATTTAATAAGCACAGGGTTTGCAATTTTAGGGCTCAGAGTAATAAAAGAATAATTACATTTGACTAAAAGAATTGAAGAACGAAACCAGAGATATAAGTTATAATGTAAGTAATTTGATTCCTCATTCTCAAAGGTACCTATTTTTTTGTGACTTTGAAAATTGTAAATTGTGACTTTGTAAATGGTGAATTATGCTTATGTAGCTATGTAAACAATCCATTCTTTCATTTTATATGCTTGGTTTCTTGTTTATTTATGATGGTTTACACTTGTTGAGCTTAAAGTCGTCTTGTCATTTATCTGGCAACTTCATTCAAAAGTAATGAGCTACGAGATATTGATGATTATAAACTATATGTTGTGTTAAAATTTACTCCAACATTTTTAACCTAAGAAAAAAAATATCCAAATTATAAACTTTTTAAGTCATGTTGCTTATCGAATTTTGTTGACTATTCTGTTAATGTTTTGTGTTACTATTTTGTATTAGTAAAACATAGTTTTTCTAAATTGAAGTTGTTGAAGTCGTATCTATGCTCCACAACATTAAAATTCCTTGTCAATACCTAGGTGAGAAATTTTTCTTAATAACAATATGATTTTATTGAATTTTATTTTGGGATATTGTCACTGTAGACCAACAAAGTTACGTATAATGGTTTAAATGATCAATTGTGACTATTTTTTGCATTTTAAGGGAATATACTTGTGTTTAACTGATTGGAAAAGTCATCTTACCCATTTTAACAGGTTAACCTACCTCGTCACTTGCCAAGTATACATGTGAGTTAACCCGTCGAGTCAATACCGAGTTGACTCGATAATACATGCAAAGAGTAATTACCGTCTCCACCAACACCCAACCAACCTTACATTGTCAATTCGATTGAGTCCCAGACACACATCTCGAATTAAAAAGGGACATACCCATGTGGGATTTGAAGTAAAACAACTCTCAAACTTGTTTACCATATTTGGGTAAACAATCATTTGGAAGAACCCTTAAAAAGCAACAATGTCGGCTCCACCACCTTCACCCGACTCTCTAAATTTTTGTGAAGACATCAACTGCAATGTGTTCCAATCAATCTTCTATGATTGTGGTCAGAAGATTTCAGAAAACCAAACTGAAATGAAATGGTTGAAGAAGCAGCTCGGACATGACTATATCGTGTGTAGGATCGACCACATCAGTCTCCAGCACAAGCTAGATGGCCATGATCAGAAGTTTAAAGTCGTTGGTGTTTCCATGGGTGGCATAATGGTGGGGATTCTCTTGTTGTTGGTAATTGTGCTCCATTTCGTTCTTAAGTTTGGGTGATGGGTGGATTTGAAACAATGGTGGTTCGTGGTTAAGAAGCTTATTAGTATGTAGATTTTCTGTTTTTTATTTTTATATTTTTTTGTCGAAATATGTAAAAGACCTCTTTTAATGATATGCATTTTGTAAGTGAAATCCAATGATTAATGAAATACCTATCTAAATGATAAGCATTTTGTAAGCTTGGGTGATGTTTTTTGTTCATTACTTATGAGAATTTACTTGTTAATTTTCATAAAAAATCCATTGAAAGTGAAATAGTAATGGGATGAAGGAAAAAGTGGGGATGTTAGTGACCCCACGCGCCTGCATAGTGGGAGGTAATATAGTCTTTTACACATACTACCCTTTCTTATATAGCAACTTGTTTCATTCTAGCAAATTGTTTTCTCCTTCAAATTCTCTCCAATGTGAAGCTACATAATGAAGAACATGGAATATGAATCTGGAGTTGAGGCTATAATAAGAACATCATGTACTAGCAATAACCCAAGAAGGCTTTTTTATGCATGTCCCAAAAAGGTAATTTACCATTTGTTCAATTTCTAATGTTAACCTTAGTTTTTTTTAAGATGTATTAATTCAAGAAAATAGTTGGAATTAGGATCCTCGTTCAGGTTTTATAGCTTGGGTTGATGAAATGCAGTGCAATAATGAAGGTGTGATCATAACTGGGTTGTTTAGGTCAAACAAAAAGCTACAATCCAAGGTCATTAAGTTGAAGGTTTACCTAATATGTAGTTGGGTATTTTTTTTTTTTTTTTGTATTTGATCATGTACAAGTTGCAATGAAGGTCATTTGGATTAAATTTTGAACAACTTGTAATGTACTTTATGTTGGTTTGTATGTTTAACTTGTAATGTACTTTGTTTTGTTTTGTATGAACAACTTGTATGAACAAATTATCAACAAGCAAATTATTGGACCACATGTTATTTATCTTGTAGTGTACTTTGTTTTGTTTTGTATGTTGATCCTGATTTTACAAGGACCACATGTTCCCTTGTAACCTAACCAAGTTAACATTGACTCCTGGAACTATTGACCTAATGTTCCCTTCGGTAACATGCATCATGCATGATCAAGAAAAGAAGTACATATCTTTCTTAAACAAACCAAATTTCTCAAACAACATAAGTAGTACAAACAAATAAACAAGTACATATGTTTCTCAAATAAACAAAATCATTTCATATCCAAACTTAACAACCTACTATAACCCAATTCCAAACATAACAATTAAGTCCAACCAAACACAACCAAGTTAAAACATAACAACATAAATAAAATCAAATCCTGATCACCTGAATTATGTCGAACACCGGTAGCGATTCTTGATAGGAGGACGAAAACCTTGAGGAACAAGGTTTTTGAGTTGGTGAAAGTATGATGGTAGCACTATAAGGGCTCAGAATGGACATTAGGGCCAGAGGACAAGATGAGGGAGCATTACCTGAAGTTATTTGTGGCAGCGGACTTCAAGGACGAAGTCGATTCAAGTGAGGGATGATTGTAACATTCAAGACTTATAACTATGTTCCTTTTTGACCCTTAATGTAAATTCTTCTCATTTTAGTCCACAACCGAGTACGTTGGATGTACTGGCTTATTTGTTGGTCACATATACGCCCATGTTCATTGGGTATACGTGGGAGTACGCTAAGCAGGGATATACCCTAATTTTAGGTTTTGTGCCCTATTTAAGCCACTTATGTTTCCTTAGTTGTATTGGCCAGCCTCCACTCCTGTACACCTTAAGAACGAAACCCTAAGTGCCATTTGTGAGTTTTGAGCATGGAAGTGAGTTTTGGTGGTGTTTTTGGAGATTTAAAGGAAGAAGAACACTTGGAGATTTTCTTTGGGTGGCTTGATTTTGTAGATCCATAAACTTCATCATATTTGCAAACTATTTGAGGTATAAAGTTCTCTACATGTTGATTCCTTATGCTAGATCCAATTTAGGGCTTTATTTGTGTATTTTTGGGTCCTTAAGCCATATTTTAGGGTATGGTCTACTCCAGAAGCCATGGATGTTAGATCGTAGCACCTTTGAGGTCCCTTAACCATAAAAATGCAATCTATATGAGTTATATTGGTCCATGCATGTGTTAGGATCCTTAATATGGTTCTTTTTGAGTTTTTGGTTCCACTAAGTCTTGCATGGGAGTAAAGTTGCCAACTTTACGTGTTAAGACATCGTTAAGGACCAGATCTGAGATTTTGATCAATTAAGCACTTAATGGTGAAGTTTGGTCGACTACGTCGTATGCTGGGTGTACCCAGCTAGTACATTATACGTATTGGTCACCGAGGTAGAAGCCGGGGAATAGGACTGAGTATGTCGGGAGAACTTAATAGCCTTGACCTTTGTTTGACTTTCTCTATTTAGGCCACTATTAGACTTTTAGGGTTTTTGGGTCTTGTTGGACCATTAGACTTCTGACTTTGGGCCATTTCTAGGCTATATGCCTTCTTGGATTTAGGGACTGATGGGTTTTGGGCCCATTTAGAATGTTCGGCCATATTGGGATTTGGGATGCTATTTTGGAATTTGGGCTTTTTGAGAAAATGGGTTGGGTCGTGGTTTTTGGTCCAAGTAAGAAAGGGTAAATGGTATTCTACCCTGGATGCTGGACAAGTAATTTAGATTCTTGAATATGGGTTGAGATCCAATTATTAATTAGATATTATTTGATGGTATTAGCACGGGGATTTTTTGGATCAACATACCAAGATTTTAGATGACAGATTCAATAGCTTGAGGTAAGTGTCCTCACTATGCTTGACAGTTCGAAGGCACCAATGTTAGCCTAAGGTTTGTTATGATTAGGATGATAGTTGTCTGCATGACTCTTGCATGTTTTATGTGTTTATATGTATACTGGGCGCGACTCGATGTCGGGGAGGGCCTGATGATTATCTTGTTTGATATTTATCTTTGTGATTCTTGCATGTGTTTATGTGTTGTATGTATACTGGGAGGGGCCCATTATATACTGACAGATCTGTTTCAAGCGGGGCTCGATGACGGGCGGGGCCCATTATATGTTTGATATGTATGGTATGTGGTATTTTGGGGAACTCACTAAGCTTTGTGCTTAAAGTTTTTAGTTTATGTTGCAGGTACTTCCGGATCCAAGGGGAAGAGCTCAGTGTAATCGCATTGCACATACCACACTGTTCTGCATTTATTTATCTCTGATGTATTTTGGATGTTTTACGTAACGCCTCATTCCTTGTACGCATTTAAATTGTACTTTTTGTTTATTTTGTAGAGCTACTCGACAAGTTGGGAGCCCCAGACTCGTCGAGTAGAAGCGAGATTAGATGTGGGTTAAAAGCCATCTAATCGACGAGTTGGGAGCCCTCAGCTCGCCGAGTAGATCGACCGGAGTGAAACCCTAATTTCGGATTTTGACACCCTATTTAAGCTCCTTAACCTGCACCCCTTGGTTTCATTTCTAGCCTCCCTTTCACAAACCCTAATCCACGAAACCCTAGAGTGTTATTTGAAAGTGTGAGTCATTTTTTTTAGTGATCTTTTGTACTTTTGAAGCTTGTGGAAGAAGAAGAAGATAAAGGACTCAAGAAGGGAAGAGTAGATCCAGAAACTACACACCATTTACTACATTTTCTGGTAATCAAGTTTCTATCTTGGCTATTAGTCCATTAGATCTCGTTATGTCCATCTTTATTAGGGATTTTAATCCAAGATTTATAGCTTTTGGAGAATGAACGACCCAAGTGGGTATTCTTCGAGATCTAGGACCTAGAGGGGCTGATATGACATAAAGGTGCAAAATTTATGCCATTGGAGCCCAAAGCAAGCCTTAGAGTTTCATATTGGCCTTTTTAGCCCTAAAAGGCCATTCATGTGGAAAAGGTGGGAAGTTTACAAGTCCTTTTGGTGTTAGGAGTGTACATATGAGGTTGTAAACTTTATTTGGGTGTAAGGACGGCATAAGGACCAAGTTATAAATCCCAAGGAATTAGGGTTTGGGCTAAACCCTTTAAGAAGAGGTACTAATGTGTAAAGTTAGAAACTTTACCCTTAAAAGGGCATTGTAAGGGTTTTTCTAAAGTGTGAAGCTTGGATATGAAGTGTAAGGGCTCAATTTATTAAGATAGCCGAAACAGATAGGTGAACTCGGTGAGTCTAGAAAGAGACATGACGAGTTAAGTCAGGTTATCCCAATTCTATGCCAGGTAGAACTCAATGAGTTTGTAAAGGGATTCGAAGATTTCAATCGGTTGGTCACTAGCCTGAGTAGTATAGGAACTCGTCGAGTTAAGAGGTAACTCGACGAGTTGATTCGACCGAGCTTTGACCTTGACTTTGACTTTGACTAGGGGTAAAATGGTCATTTTACCCTAAGAAGGAATATAAGATTTTGATTAAGTATTATTGTGAGATTGATAGCCAGGCAGTTGTTGGAGCAGCCGTCGGGGATTCCTTACACAAGATTTCACAGCTAGCATACGAGGTGAGTTTCCGCCAGTGGGAACGGGTCTAAGATACCAACTCCGACCCGTTTAGTTAGTAGTAGTTCCGGAACATAGTCCGGTGTAGGGTAGGGTCCGATGCTGGGAAAACCGATGTCAAGCCTGACTCGATGTAGCTAGGGTGGGGCCCAATATATGTGTAACGCCCATAGATCCAGGATAGTCAATTTAGAGATAATAGGGGTCGGAAATGACTTTTCTAGAAAATATTATTTAGAATAAGTAATCTTAACCAATTTTTAGAATACATCTCGAGAGTTTTGTACATATAAAGAACGCCGAAATCCGAGTTATAACAAAGAAGTTATGGCCCATTGAAGTTTTACGGCAAAACCAGCATAACACCGGGAGATGTAAATAGTGAATTTACGATGGAGAACTTTTTAGCCTTAGTGATCTAAAAAAAAATTGTAGTATACGTTAAACCGAGAACATACAAAAAAAGAACGCCCAAATCTGACTTTGTATGAGGAAGTTATGAAGTTTCTAAGATTTG